TGACTGGCCATTGGGACGTATTACTGAGACTTTTCCTGGGAACGATGGCTTGGTGCGAGTGGTCAGAGTTAAAGCTAAAGGAAAGGAGTATTTGCGACCGGTTCATAGATTATGCCCTCTTGAGTACGTTTAGTAATAAACCCGAGGATATGGAGGAGATTGTACATAATTACCTGCGAAAGAAACGGACAGTTATGAAACTAAACTGACAACATAATTTCATATTAGCGGAGTTAGTTACTCCTAGTTTTGTTAAAGTTTTACGAATGTTAGACTATCTCGAATGTTACACATTCGGGAGGGGGATGTTACGAACAGATTACTATAGATAAGATGAAGTAGTTATAGTTTCCCGCCATATATCGCGGGCGCGGACACGTTGGGGAAAATAGATTTTATACTTTTATATTCTAACCGAGTTGGCGATTAAAAATGCAATAAATTTGTCATAAAAATAGAGATTTTGAGTTAAACTAGGCAAGAACCAGCAGATCAAACTACGTTCTCAAGTTGGTGAGAACAATTACCTTATCATGTACCCACGTTTTTTCAGGCGACCGGTCGAAAAAATGATCAACTGCGCGTGCTCGGCAAGTTTAAAGTGAGTCGTCATAAGGTCGTCATCCAATCAGATGCATGCATCTAGTAACTTGCCGAGCACGCGCACAAAAAAAGTGGGTACACTAGTTACGTCTCTGTATGTCTCTACTCTGTGCTATTATTAAACTTTCCAAAAAACCTTTGCATTCTCGTACACAGAGTCCTTGTTTTGAATACGTTTTTTTCTATTTCGAGTCCGGGTTTTCAAAAGTCAAGTCCGGGTTTTCTTAAGCACGAGTTCGGATTTTTTTCGAGTCCGGGTCCGGGTTTTTCTCGAGTCCGGATTTTCTTAGAATCCGACTCCGGGTCCGAGTCCGAGTCCGGTCCGGGTTTCGAAGTATGCCTATATACACTTCACGTCAGCATCTATGAAACAAACAACCAATTTATATTGTTGCGAAGCCAACTCGAGCTGTTCATTGCTTTTTATGAAGTTTCGGTTTGCACAAAACCGTAGCACTGTGTTTTCTCGCTGATTAACAATGGCGTTGCTATCTTGCTCCTTCTCCAATTCTCTTTATTTTCAACGACTGCTCAGATTATCTTCGCCTCTGGTAATGATGGCACGTAGTTCGTCCACCGTTGTGGCGAAGTCAGTTGACGGTAAAATTCTGCCTTTCTCTGAAATTCCTGGCCCAAAAGGAACCATCCGAAATTGCTTGGACTACTCGTTGGGAAAGGGCTCATACTTTGATGTCATAACGAAACGCTTTGAAAGATTTGGACCAATATACAGTGAGCAAATACTGGACACGCGAGTGGTAAATATTTCCGATGTAGATGCAACAATGAAGCTTTTGCATGCGGAAAGTACTTTTCAGATGCGGCCAGGCTTTGAAGCCGCTGCCGAGGTTATTAATAACCAAAACGGTCTCATTGGGTTGATCTCAAACGACTATGATGTCTGGTATTCGGATCGATCTCTGATCTCGCCAAAGATGCTACGTCCAAAAGATATCAATGAAACATTCCCTATGTTAAATACTGTAGCGAATGATTTCATACTGCGATTGTCCCATCTTACTCAGTCTAACAAGATGAACAACATTGAAGAGGAGTTAAACTTCTGGGCGGTAGAATCTTTTGCTTCGGTGTTATTCAATCACCGTCTTGGTTTCTATAATCATCCCCCAGATCCTACAGCAGTCGAGTTTGTACATGCGAGTGTGGGCATGATCGATAATATTGGAAAACTCTGTCTCTATGGTTCTCTTCACAAGTACATCAAGATCCCGGCGTATTATCGATTGAAGAAAAATATGGCTACAATTCATACAATTGGTATGGAAATTATCAATAAGATATTGGCAACCAAGCGGGAACGTGACTGCAGTAACAAACAGTCTTTGTTTGAATATCTTGTATCCAACGGAAGGGATACGCCGAAAACTATGGCAGCGATCATTGGATTGATGGCAGCTGGCATTGATACTACCAGTACAACGTGTCTTTGGCTCCTTTATACACTGTCTCAACATCCAGACATCCAGGAGAAACTCTATCAGCAGCTAGTGTCTGCCATTGGTCCAGACGGGGAAGTATTAGCAAGCAATATCCCACCATTTCTCAAAGCAGCTCTGAAGGAGTCGCAACGCATGTACCCAGTCGGTGGTTATGTGGTCGCCCGGGTATTTGATAAGGACGTCGATGTCCTCGGCTACCATATTCCAACTGGTGTGAATATTTTAATGCACGAACATTTGGCGTCGCTTGATGGACGGTATTATGGGGAAGACGCGAAGAAATTCGTTCCAGAGCGATGGCTGCGTGATGAAACAAGAAAGAGGCACGAGGTAAACTCCTTTACTTCCCTACCGTTCGGTTTCGGAGTAAGAATGTGTCTGGGGCGAAGAATGGCCGAATCATTGATCTATACGTTGGTAGCAAAGATCTTAATTCGTTATCGTCTGCAGTACGCTGAAGGATTTGAAAATGGAGTGAATCGGAGTCTTGTGGGAATCTTAATGAAACCCGACCGACCTGTTCTACTGAAGTTCATAACAAGAGAATAGAACCTTGACTAATTGTTCTTCTACTTATTTAATCATATATATTAATAACCTTTTGCCAAAGAGCAGCCAACCCGTGCTAAACGAAGTTAGGCATCGCTTTCTATTCGCTTTATATCGAATTATATTTGTTAATTTGTTAGTTACTTTGTTCCAATTCGGAATCAAAAAAATTGGTATTTACTATAAAAACTAGTGAGCATTCGCGCTCGCGATGCACTCGCGATGGCTATGTTGCCGTATGCTCCAAGTACTTTTTTATTAAACAATTAAAACATTCTTATATAATTTCATTCCACATTAACATTTACATGTTAGATTTCTGTTATAATAGTTTAGAATTGTTTTTCAGTTCCAAAATTCCGAATTAATATTATAATATGTAAACTTTTTGTGTTAATAATTATATCCTTTAAACCACAATCAAATCTTCATACAACTCATCGCATCTGTACAGACCACTTTGATAATAGAGACGAATTTAAATGTTCTTTTACAGTATGTGCATCTTATTGCATATTAAACCTTTTTGGTCTCGTTCAGGTTCTAAAATTCGCGACACCTAAGGGAAGCCTCACATATCGATTTTGTCCATGAGAAACGTCATATGTTCGTTTCTCTGGAGACCCCCCCCCCCTTAAAAACGTCACACATAGTTATCGATATTTTGTTCTTTTAATATAGTACGCATAAGGTAATTTTCTACTATTTATTTCGGTCGGCTAACGGCGATGCTTCCGCGAGGAATATGTCATCTTCTGCTGACATACTCTTTTTTTATTAATATATATATAAACTTCAAAATTTCCAACGTTTCTCAAAACAATTTTTTTGCATGAAATATTGATAATTTTAGCGCGTATTTCTTGAAATTTGAGTGTTTTCAAATGCAAAGAAGGCGTAATGATATAAATGTATAGGTATAGAACAGGTATGGCATTACGAATATATAGACTGCTGTTTGTATCAAATTGTTTTCTTTTTTGTACTCTGCAAAGATAAAAACTATCGATTTTTTCCATGATGTTTACAGAGAAACGTCACAGCTGCCAACCCCAACTCTTCACCTTCTGCCCAAACGAACATATGACGTTTCTCGTGGAAAAATCGATATGTGAGGCTTCCCTAAACCAATCGATTAGTAGCGAAGCCAGCCTTACAATTTGGTCATGCTATGCATATTTAAATCATCATTATTCATTTCTTTAGAAATTGATTGTTTTTACGGTCTATGAACACGGAAATATTTGCATAGCATGAGCTGGCTTCGCCACTAGTACTGCCGATCGTGGAATCAGATCTTCACGATTACACGACAAAATGTTAAAGATAGCGGTTACGATACTCCGGTTTCTGATTGGTTGACTAATAATAGTCACAACTGCTCTGGTACAATATCGGATATCAATCGGAAAATAATTGGTTGCGGATGATTAACAATTATTCGCCGAAGGCGAGGTGATTATCGGTAAATAAAAACCGAGACGAAGTCGAGGTTTTTATTCACGATAATCGCCGAGCCTGAGGTGAATAATTGTTTTAGTATAATTTCATAGGTGATTATTTGGAAAAAAATAAAAAAATGCACATTTATTCGTCTTTTAATTGACAAAACGGCTTCAGCCGCCATTTTGAAAATCGCTTAGGTGATTATCGCGTAATAATCACCTCAACGGGAACCAATCAGCGTGGAGAATTTTCAATAATCACCTATGTAATTATACTAAAAGTTGTTATTGAGCTTTATTAATTAAAATACATGTGTAGCACTTCTCGAATATGAATAACAAGATTTTTTTATTTAATCAGGATTCGAGAACGAACCATATACTGTACGAGTGATTTGAGAGCAGGGATCAATGAAAAATAAGCTTTTCACATTAAGGATTTGAAACTGGCTGGTGTGTATGTTTGACTCAGTGAGACAAAGCATTCATTTGAGAGCGAGCCGATAATTAAGGCTATGTTTACATTGTATCGGATCACTTTGCGTCGGACGCAAAAACCATACCGGATAGGGCTTCTGTTTACATATGAAATGTTGTTATCGTCTCAATTTCTGCAACGAACCGGTGGTGCGGCGGTTCGCTCTTCGAAGTGGTGCGCTGTGTATCGGATCGGTTTTTGCAACGCTCTCAGGGGCGGATTCAGACCGTTGCAACCGTAGCATATGCTACGGTCAGATTTTCCCTGAGATATATATTTTCCAGGCTGTACCTTTTTTAAAGTTATTAAAAACTAAAATGTTATACTATTTTTAATTGCCGTAATTTTCAATTTTTCATTGAAACTTGGTGCAATTTTTTTAAAATTTACTAAATCATATTGATACAATTTTATCGAGTTTTTATTTCGTTTTGGATAATTAAATTCGGGTTTTTCTCAAATTTCCGCCCGAAATACTGCCTGTATTTGCGGGTTTTGCACTAGTACTATATCACATCGTTCTGAAGTCGTAGCATTTGCTTCGTTGTGATTGGCTTGCTTCGTCTAACCGTAGCAAACCAATCATAGCGCTGTATTTGGAAATTTTTGCAGTGGTCAGATTGAAACTGACCGTTGCAAAAATTCGCAAATACGGCGTGCTGATTGGTTTACTACGGTCAGACGAAGCAAGCCAATAAGAATGAGGCAAAATGCTACTGTTTGCAATAGTCCCATCGACTTCAGAGCGATGCTGGCTTGTTATTGTCGTGTCGGCTCCTCGTTGTAATCGAATAGTCGGTAAGTTTTAATCGCCGCTCGTTCCGAGGAGAAAGACATGACTTCTACAGCACTCCACGATCTTCTGTGCATAATGAACGAATATAAACGTGTTTCATTTAACGAAAAGGTGCGCGAAAGAATTCTGATCGAAAGCTTTTGGTGTGCGATTATTGGCATAATTTGCATTTCCCGCGATGTAGATAGATAGATAGATAGATCAACTTTATTTAAACACATTGGCCTTTTCAGCAAAAGCTGATTTCCAAAAGGTATGTGTACTTACAAATTATTATTTATATCTAGCTCTAATATTACATACATAACAAATACAATTATATACCTATTTAGACAAAAAATTAACTACTACTTTAAGTCGAGATTAAGGTCGAGGAAGATAGCTTTTTACAGAACGAATTATACGATACCGAATTGCGTATCTCTTCAGGTATCTGATTCCATAGTTTAGCCCCACTATATTGGAAGCTTTTTTTTAAGGATTCCGTTTTTGGTCTTGGAATATAAAACCTTGTTGAAGAACCTCTCAGATTATGAAGAGTGAACTGTGAACTGTGAAGAGACAGCGCTGTTTGAATCACCTCCGTGTCACTGTCAGGTCAGTCTCATGAATAGTATATTAAATATGTAAATAACATATTGAATTTTACACAGTTCATGCGTCTCGAATATATTACCATATATTTGCTGATGAAACGTGTTATTATAAAAATGCAGAACAATATCAATGGCCACTCACACTATTTGATAGCCATTGGCATGGCATACTTCGAAACCCGGACCGGACTCGGACTCGGACCCGAACTCGGACTCTAAGAAAATCCGGACTCGAGAAAAACCCGGACCCGGACTCGAAAAAAATCCGGACTCGTGTTTAAGAAAACCCGGACTTGACTTTTGAAAACCCGGACTCGAAATAGAAAAAAACGTATTCAAAACAAGGACTCTGTGTACGAGAATGCAAAGGTTTTTTGGAAAGGTTTAATAATAGTTAACATGATAAACGATGATCTCTTTATAACAATAATGATGTATATATCTTTAAATAAATTTCTAGAGTGCTGTTGCACTATCTGGCGTAGTGCTGATAAAGAATCTGAGTTGCTCGGTAATAATTGCGGGTGTCCCTATCTCTTCCCGCTTTCTAAATATACTATATAGATATAGATAGAATACTTTATTTGAAAAGCAATAAGCTTGGTTTTGAAACATGTAGATAATATTTTCTTCTAGTGACTCAGTGTTATGTGTTAGATGTTATGTACTTATGTGAGGATACTAATCCCCGAGCCGGCGGCGCGAAGCGCCGTGCGAGGGTACTAATTCCCCCCGGCTATTTACACCCGGGGAAACGAAAGCATTAGCGAAGTCTAAAGTTCATCAATGAGCGCGGGCGTCGGTCACCAACGATGGGTGGTCATCCTCACTGATCTCAAAAATATGGCGGACTGTCATGAATAACGGACACTGATCGGTCCAATTTAAAGTTTGCATTATAACGACTGCATGACGACAGCGAAATCACAGAGTAGAGACATACAGAGACGTAACTAGTGTACCCACTTTTTTTGTGCGCGTGCTCGGCAAGTTACTAGATACATGCATCTGATTGGATGACGACCGCTGATGACGACTCACTTTAAACTTGCCGAGCACGCGCAGTTGATCATTTTTTCGACCGGTCGCCTGAAAAAACGTGGGTACATGATAACGTAATCTTCCGCAGTGTTTACAACGGTCAGTTACGTCTCTGTATGTCTTATCTACTCTGTGGCACAGAATAAAGACATCGCTGCAGACAAGTTTTCTTTGCACAAACAATATGTTTCCGGGTTATTTAAATATCTAACTAGAAAACTTGCATGCAGAAACCCTCGCCTTGCTGACAAAACCGTTGTATTTTCCGAACATGAAGTATCTGAAGTAGTTGTCATGGTAATGTGGCGTTCATAGGTGTATACTGTATTGATGTAAAACCTATATTATAGTAATAGGATTAAGCGGTAGAGACTTTGCTCTTTCCTGACTATCTAGAGTTGTTGATAGGTAAATGACGTAGTTCCTTATTTGGGAGAGTCTCCCACGGAGTGTTGTATGATATATAAGATTGTGTTTTAGGTTAATAAAAAGTTCTCCATTCTGGCCTTGATTACGAGCGCCTGTTGTGTACCAACGCGGCACGTTACAATTTGGTGGCAGCGGCGGGATAATGATCGAAGACGCGCAATAGCCGCAATCAAGGCCATGGTTTTAAGACAAGAGTAAGACAAACCGAGCGGGCAATCCGGCGGAGAATGCAGTCAAACGTTTGGCGTCGCAAGTTGCCGCAAGTTGGACTGTGTTCTGTTCAGTGGAATAGGTGGACTGAGAGGAGTCCAGATTGTCGATGTTGGTCGAGCGGCGATCTTACCAAGACCAAACAAGGACTGTCCAGAAAACTGAGTAGAAAGTACTAAATAAGTAAACGCCAACCAAAACTGAATTGAACTGTCTGTGTGTGAGTTATGTGTTTCCTTTCCTGTATGCTGTGTATTTTGACTTTTGAGTTTGAAAATTTCCCGTGTTGTGCACTTGTGCTGTGTATGAATCATCAGAAGTAAATCGTCTATCCAGTGTCACCTGGCAAGAATATGTTTCCTACCAGCTGTGAAGTCCTGGCGTTTTCTGCGTTGGTTCATCCCTTCTACAGTTTTATTTGACTTTCGTGTGAACTGATAATTATGTTATATGTATTGTTGCTTTCAAGACATTTTATATCTTTAAATTAGTGAACTTATATTTGTTGCGCGCGTGAACGGTATATATCATAGTAGCTTCGATGGAAGCACAAAAAAAAGCACAAAAAAAAATAGAGATGTTAAAGACAGTTATGTTGGCAGAGATAGCGTAAGTCCGGTAGTATAAAAGAAACGGCAGACCAACGATAGAGTAGCTGTAGCCTTGTAGTAATTATGATGTAAGTGAGCACAAGTGATGCCGGAAATAGTCCTGTAGAGTAGGGACAAAGAAAAAATATTTAAGAAAATATGTGCTCGAAGTGCTAGTTAAGTGATATGGTGTTACCTGGCGATTTATTTTTTTTGTATTTTTGGCTTGTCGTTTATAACAATAAGTGAAGGGATATTGTGGCGTTCATAGGTGTAAGAATATTCTTACAAATGATTTTTAAGAATATTCTTACAAATGAAAATCGCCTAAAGCTACGTTTACACGCTGCGATTTGTCGGGCCGATTTTGGTAAATAATCGATGCCCCTTCTTCGACATTTAGCGATTTAAACGTTCAATTGAAGCTGTCCGCTCTCTCGTCTGTTTATATTATAGTTTTCTGCGTGCGAAAAGTTTTCAACAACTTTACAACAGAAGAAAAATCGTTGAATCGTGAGAAAAATCTGTGTTTTGTTGCAGATTTTTCTCCCGATTTTGTGAATCGCAAGGTGCTGACGCGAGTACTCACGACAGGTTATTTACATACAGCGAGCAAAATCGGCCCGACAAATCGCAGCGTGTAAACGTACCTAAGTGTGTAAATGTGTAATTCCTTCTACACAAAATGTCCTATTTAGTTCCGACCGTATAGTCCTGGTGCCGAGTGAATGACCTGACGTCATTACTGTATCACTCCCCTTTTTTATCTAATTACCCTCCCTCGTCATACCGTTCTGGTTGCCTGACATTCCTTGTCTTGGCGCAGGGCTTGTGTCAACTCTGTCTCGTTCGGTCCTTTCCGCGTCATACGTTTCACTGTCATCGTCGTCGTCGACTTGAACATCAATCTTTGGCTTCGGTATTGGCTTGAAGTGTGATACATTGCGAGTTATAGTGTGTCCTGTCTGACTACGTGCTGTCACCGTGTTGTTGTTTCGCGAGATGACAATGTGGAGTGTTTCATTGAAATTAGGGGTGAGTTTGTTCCGTCTCTCTTGCTTCCACAAAACGTAGTTGCCAACTTTTATTAGGCTTTCTCTAACATTTCTCTTTTCATCAGCGTTACGTTTGTTGTATTGTTGTCTTTCACCTTCCTTTTCCCGAGCCTCGTTGTGACGGTTAACGAGATTGCGTTTTTGTAAAATAGGAAGTTTTCCTTGAACTTGGCGATTAAATAACAGTTCAGAGGGTGGAACACCAGTGGTACAATGCGGTGTGGCGCGATAGTGCAACAGGAAACGACTCCGCTCTTGTTTCCATGGACGGCCGTCAAGTTTAGCAGCTTTCAGGGATTTTCCCAAGGGTTGCACGAAGCGTTCTACTTCAGCGTTGCCTTGGGGCCATTTGGGAGTAGAGAAGATTGCCTTTATTCCAAGGGCGGCTAGACAGCGTTGGTATTCTT